GTGGTGATGGAAGGGTTAATGGCAGGCAGTCTGTGGTGATGGAAGGGTTAATGGCAGGCATTCCGTGGTGATGGAAGGGTTAATGGCAGGCATTGTGTGATGATGGAGGGGTTAATGGGAGGCATTCCGTAGTAATGGAGGGGTTAATGGCAGGCATTCCGTAGTAATGGAGGGGTTAATGGCAGGCATTCCGTAGTAATGGAGGGGTTAATGGCAGGCATCCCGTAGTAATGGAGGGGTTAATGGCAGGCAGCCTCGCTTTGCGGACCCCGGGTGTAGCAGCTCCGGCGGCACGTGTGAGTGAGGAAGTCCGATCTCTAGGACGGGGGAGGGGAGAGCTTTCCTCGGCCCCCCCAGACACACACACCGGATGGGAACATCAAACTGCAGAGCGGAGCGCCCGGGGCCCGGCTTCCAGCTGACATCCCATAACAAAGCATTGATTCACTGTCCTAGCACAGGGACCGCGCCATCCACCATCGGCTCATACACCGTCCTGCACCCGGGATCCCATAGCGGAATCATTGTACACAATGTAATCGGCTCTACAGTGCCATATGGCACCGGGACCCCCCCGGACAAGCAGCCTGCGGAATGGTCTTCATAGCGGGATTCATTGAAGGACATGTCACACGGCTTACATCCTCAAAACCGTCACTGCAAAGCGGACACCTCCGGACAGCAATATAGACCCTGCACCCCGATCTTCCCCGGTCCTGGAGTCTGCACCCCGATCCTGGACTCTGCACCCCTCATACTCTGCTATATCATTGCCCTGTAGGCACATGTCTGTTTATTCAATTAGCCAGCATCCCTGATCCATACACAATGTATCAGCACCCAGAAGATCCTCTGATCCGGTGAACCTGAACCCCAGAACACTATTCAGTGTGTCCATATCAGGACCTCATCATCATTGGACTTGTTCTGCACGAATATTTCAGAGACTGAAAAGCACAAATCCCACTGACCCTGAACCCCAGGACACCCCGTATTTAATGACCCCGGATCTCTGATTCATCGACTCTGAACCCAAGAAAACCCCTCTGATTTGGTGACCCTAAACATCCCCATATTTAGTGACCCTGCACCCCAAATACCCTGGATCCTAGAACACAGATCCCTCTGATTCCGTGACCCCTGTATCCCGGAACACCTCAATATTCAGTGACCCTGCACCAAAGAACACCCAATATTTAAATACACTGCATCCTAGAACATAGATTCCTCTGATTCAGTGACCCCTGTACCCCAGAACAACACAATATTCAGTGACCCCTTTGCCCAAGAACACCCACTGATTTAGTGACCCTGTATCCAAGAACACCCCCATATTTATTAACCCGGGCCCCCAGAACACCCCCAATATTTAACTACATAAGAACACCAATATTGAGTGGCCCTGAACACCCCAATATTTAGTGACCTCCCCACCCCAATATTCAGTGACCTCCCCACCCAGAACACCCTATGATTTATTGATCCTGGACCCTAGAACACCCCAATATTCGGTGACCCTGTGCCACAGAACACCCCAATATTCAGTGATCCCCAGAACACCCCTACGACCCTATAAAACCCTAAGATTTAGCGACCTGGGACACAAGAAAACCCCAATATTCGGTGACCCTGAACCCCAGAAGACAGGTCCCTGTGATGCAGTAGATGCCGGAGGAGTGCGCTTTCCTTTCCTCTCATTGGATCTGATGAGGAAGCTGTGCGGATCATCTCCGGAATGAATGGTGCAGATCGGGGGTCCTACTGACAGCCGCCCCCCCCTCCCCCCGGACCCCCGTGTGTGATGACAATGTGAAGATCCCGCTGTTTCCTCCTGTGGGCAGTGCCATAGTCGGAGAAGTGTGTGCACGGATCGAGCGTCTCACATTGTGCGGATGATGCCAGGCTGAGGATGGCAGAGGTCCGGGACTCGGCGGCGTGCGCTGCTGCTGCGGCGGCGGTGGTGGGACTTCTAGGGGTGCAGGATGGGGGTAGCCTGACGATCGGGGGGCTCAGCCGGGGAGCGGATGACTTGGTGCTGAACGGAGGATGCTCAGAGGAGAGCCCGCAATCAGGGAGGAGCAGCAGGGACCACTCTGGGGAAAGGGGACAAGGGACTCCAAAAACTACCGGCATTATGAAGGTAAGACCTCGCTTTTCATCTTCTCACCGGGATACTTAAAAATACAAGTACCCTTGCAGTGGGCGTACCCCAGCACTGTAAGGGTTAACCTTTCCAATTTTGTCTGGGGGTATCATGTAAAGGACTGTTATTTACCCGATCCCTGCTTCCCCCGCGGTCAGCGCTTATCTCTTGCCCCTCAGTTAGTCCATATCTTTATGGGTTATGGTGCCTATGTTAGACGTGATGATGTCAGCGGGCCTCTGGCCTCCGAAATGGATAAGGGGGGCGGTCCTGGGGCCAGTGGGGATCAGGTAAAGCTGACCATACACAGGTAGATTTTTGTTCAAACGAAAAATCGGGTCAGAACATTCGATAATCGGAGATTTGAAGTTTTGGAATGAATGGGGTTTCCCAAACGAAAAGCATATTGTTGGATTTTTCCACCCTGCGCTTTAGCTTTTTTTCGCCATCGCTACGGTCAACAACGATTGGCTATTTGATCCCATTAATTAGAACATTTAATAAGTATTTCAAAAATCTTTTTTTTGTCAAATGTGTGCATGGGCCAACGTTACACATCCCCATATAACAGGGGTGGGCAACTCCGGCCCTCCAGCTGTGCTTTAACTACAAATCTCAGCATACCTCTGCCAGTCTTGCAATGCTTCATAGAACTTGTAGTTCCCCAACAGCTGGAGGGCTGCAGTTGTCCACCTCTGCCCTGGACATGAGCAGGTAAGTTGTAGTGCGGGGGTAGCCACACCGCAAGTGGACTTTTTTATTTATTGATTTTTTTAATTGGAGATTTTTGAAACAAATTGTCCCAACGTTTGATTTTTCTAATGGTCACAAAGGACAAGTCGTCTTTCGCTTTTGACCGTATAGACGTTAACATTCGAAGGTTCAGGATGAAAATTTTTTTTTCTTTCTTATTTGAACCGATAAAATTCTAATCATGAATGTGATTTCTGTTCTCCCCCCAAAAATCGTACATATTGTTGTGTGTGTGTGTGTGTGTGTGTGTGTGTGGTAGACACAAAAGAGAACTTCTTTAAGGGCCTGTTCACACCAGGGCTGTGAGATAAACGCATGGTACTGTGCAACACACATACCGTGCCTTAACAGTGCAGGAGCTGTGTTGCTTTATAATTCATTGAATAGCATCCCAAACGCACCTCCCGCCCGTGATGTGATCGACCATGCTGTAACGCGTGGTACCACAATACTGTGCAGGTGCATGCACTGCTTTTTTCAACCACACCGCACCACAAGGTATTGCGGTACCGGCGCGGTTGATCGCTTTGCGTGGCGGAGGTGCATGTGGGGTCCCATATGCATGAATCGCAATACACCTCGTGCACTGTTGACGCACAGCTCTGGTGCGATCAGGCCCTAATACGCCTGAGATTCTGTTCAAGAAGCAGGACATTTTTAGGATTTTGTTGATTTAGCGATTTTCAAAGGAAAGTTTGAGGGCTGGTTCACACCACAAAGTCTGCGTTCCAGAGCGTTCGGCCTCTGGAACGCAAGCCGGCCGGCTCCCTGCGTTCAGGGGCAGGAGGGGGCTTGGCGGTGCATTGAAGTCAATGGCACCGCAGCCATGCCCGCCGGCCCGCAGTGTGATCGTTAGTGACATTAGTGTCCGCGTGCCGGTCCAGTGCGATCTGCAAAAATAGTGATGGCACTATTTTTGCAGATCGCACTGGACCGAAACTCAGGCACTAATGTGCCTGCGTTCCAGGTGCGGGTGATCGGACGGCGGGCATGGCTGCGATGCAACGCTCTGGAATGCAGACTTTGTGGTGGGAACCGGCCCTGGATGAAATTCTTCTGGTGTATGGCCAGCTGTACATACTATCAGACTGTGTGCATCGGGTAGGTGTGGTTGTAGCAGTGTCTGCAGTAAGGGCAGGTTCACACCATATTCCAGATCTGGTCTGGAGATGATGTGGTGTGAATGGGCCTTGAATGTTGTAAGTGCACAGCAGCTGAATGCAACTTCCTCTTGATAGGCGATGGTTCAGTGGGTAAGGATTCAGTGCTAGATGGATCTGCACCACGCAATCCTGTGATAAGCCTAGGCTTGGTGTGAACCCAATTCACCTGTGTTTGCTCAAGCCTGCTCAAAACTGTCACTTCCACCCCCATCCTCCTGGCCCAGTCAGTTGCAGAGAGGGGCATTCCATTGCCACTGCTGCCAATGATTGGACCGGGAGGGGGGGGTGACAGTCAGAGTTTTGAGTGGGCTTAGGCGAACTGGGTTCGCACTAATCCCAGACTGGTGAGTAGTCATAAGAGGAATAGTGGACTACCATTGTTGACCTCCTTCTGAGGAATTAAGTCCCCCAACTGTCTGGCTTCTAAACTTTCCTTTATTGACGTGGATTATGGATCTTAATCAAGAATGTCTTTATCTGCAGGTTCCAGCTCTGTACAGTATTATAAAGCTGTTAATCTAGAGGGGCCGACATACCATTTGTGCAGCTGCACAAGGGCCCTGCAGGACCTAAGGGCCCATTTATACTAGATGTGGGATGGGCAGGTGCTGGGATCTCTCTTGCTATCAGGCAGACCTGGGCACTGCTTATGTCTAGAAAAGGTGGGAGACATTCTTCATGATGACCTCACTGTGTTCCTGGTTTATGTCATGTCCGTATGGTGTCACGCAGCGAGCACCTTCTTAACTTTCTACCTATCGAGCGCTGAGATGTACAGAATGCTTCTCCCATTTTCTTTTGACACATTTTGGACTGGAAACAAAAGCGCTTGTTCACTGTCTGAACAGAATGGCATATTAGGGCTCATGAACACAGGTGCCAATACAGGCGTAAAATAAGTCTGAATTTGTGGCGCCGGGAAGCACCAGCTGTTGTGTTCTTCTGGCTATATAAATGGATGGACTGAAAACGATGTATGGGATAAACGCTGGTACCGCGTTCAGGAACGTATGTCCGTGCACATGTAAATGCTTAAATTTGCATGGGCATAAACTCCTAAATGTGAACATTTTGCATTCAGGAACTTGCGCCCATGCGCATGTAAATGGCCGCATTTGCATACCCTGAGCCCTTATGAACTAATTGCATATGTTCAGACCTAGCCAGTAGTAGAATGGGGGTCTTCCACAAGGGGCCCTTTGGTGACAGTATCGATCATTGCTAGAGGGCCAGCATGGCAGCAAATTAATGAACATTTCCTGAAGGAGGGGCCAGCATTGATTCTCCTATGGCAAGTGTTTTCTTGCGGGCAGCTTGATATTAAGTAAACGCGAGTGTAGGTCAGGCAACGCATAAGAGCGGTATAAGTGGTCAAATTCACATGCTGTTCCTTCTTTAGAATTTTCTATCCCAGGGTTGGGCAATTCATTTTCTCATGGGACCACATGAGAAACTGGGACTGTTGTGGAGGGCCGAAACATTACTGTCCCCACAGTAGGCACACACGGACATATGTAAAGTGTTAAAAAATTAAGATGGGGGCAACTAATGTAAAGGAAACTCTGATGGATGCAACTAATAATTAGTTGTCCCCATCAGAGTGCCCCCTTATATTGATTGCTCCCATCAGTGTGCCTCCTTACATTGGTTGCTCCCATCAGAGTGCTCCCTTAAATTGGTTGCTCCCATCAGAGTGCTCCCTTATATTGGTTGCTCCCATCAGAGTGCTCCTTTATATTGGTTGCTCCCATCAGTGCTCCCTTATATTGGTTGCTCCCATCAGTGCTCCCTTATATTGGTTGCTCCCATCAGAGTGCTCCCTTATATTGGTTGCTCCCGTCAGAGTGCTCCCTTATATTGGTTGCTCCCATCAGATTGCCCTCTACTTTCATAATGTAAGGGGGCACTCTGATAGGGCAACTAATGTAAAGGGGCACTGTGATGGGGACAACTAATTATAAGTTGTCCGCCTTAGCTAGCCCCTTTTATATTACTGTCCCCACATACTTTATTTTCCTACTTTATTGGTAGGTCAGAGGGGGGACCCAGGAGATCATGCAGGCTCAGGGAGAGGATGGAAGCAGAGGATGGAAGAAGATGCTCCATCCTGTAATGCATCACTGGTGACTGCATTGGAGGTGGGAACCTGACGTCATTGGTTGCTAGGGCACTAGAGGTCCTAGCAACCAACGACTGAAGTGGATGCACTGACTAATGACTTGCAGTGGATGCACTGGCTTTGGAGGCCAGCACATCCACGGTCAGCCAGCTATCGCTGGCCTTCTTTTAAAAATGGTAGTTCCTTGGCTTCTGCGTCCCAGAACCTCAACAAACATGCATCAAGTAAAAGTCAGAAAAAAAGAGTCCAATCTTTCTTTACTTAGAATGCATTGAAGCCAAAGCATCAACATAAGTTGAACTCTATAGGTTGAACTCGATGGACTTTTTTTTCAACCTGACTAACATGGCATTTTTAAAAGTAAAGTCAACAATGACAGTCCATGTAGGTTCACTTTAACGCTATTGCACGGCCACAGTGCCTCCAGTAAGCAGATTGTTATACAAGGCAGATACAATTTGTTTAGACACATTTGATATTTTGTCAGGTGGTTTACTGGCAGAGCAAAGGTATTGGTGCTAGAGTTCCCAGTCTATAGGCTGTTCATATGTAGCTTGGTCTGACGAGTTTGTATAGAAGAATCGCAGAAGTTGGACCTATAGCGTTGCACTCTAGGCACGTTGCATTCCCATTCATTCTGAAAGGCACCTTAGGGCACCTTCTGGCATGCGTGCATTGTGCTGTGATGCAGCGCACAGAACCGCAGTAGTGTGTGTTACGGTTGCATAATTTTTTTCACTGTACATGCTACCGCGGTACCTTGATTTGCAGTTCAACACACACCCACCAGAAGGTGCGTTGGTGTGCTATTCAGAAATAATGACAATGCAGGGCACCTAACGTGCAGTGCATTGTGCTGTGCAATAGCATGCACTGAACACACGGATACCGTGCTTTTATTGCAACACTATGGGGTGAATAGGCCCTAAAGGGAATAAGAGCTCTTGGGCATGCTGTAGCTT